TGAGCCCTTGATAATTTATAAATTGTTTACATAATTTATAAATTATTATTTTTTCATGTCTCACTGACTGATGTCTCCCTTCACCCACTTTTCTATTGTCTGTCCTTTTGGGAGGGGGTTATATGTAGATCATTGTGATAGGTTCCCCCTTTCTCCTCCCACCTTCCCCTTCCCCTCCTAATATGGCTACTCTCAATGTTGGTCCTAAGGGGTTTATCTATCCTGGATTCCTTGTGTTGCAAGCTCTTATCTATACCCATGTACATACACTGGTCTTGCCGACTTAAACATTTTTGCCCACTCCACAAGTCTTCTATTTATTAAGCCAGGTACATTTAAAATTTTTTCTGCTGCATACAAAACAGCCTGCTTGAAGTTCTTTCTTCCCATCGTGCTTCAAGGCTCAAAACTCTAGATCTTTTGTGCTTCACATTTGAAGGCTATTTTACTAGCCAGATCTACTTTTAAAAAGCACAGCTACATCTTCAGATTTCTTTAACAGCCAGGAAAAGCAAGGACATCCAAGTCCCAAGGCTCCTGGTTCCACTCCCAGTCACAATTTTCCTCCCTGGAGATCACCAGTCTCTGGTATCCTGGGAGCTTCAGCACAGCTCTGATGAGAACAGCACACAATAGTCCAGGATGGCCTGACTTGACTGCTCTCAGTAACTAAGACTGGAGGCCAGGCACTGTATTTTTAAGGACACCTGGATCAAACAAACGTTTCAGCTTTCAACACCAGGTGACCTTTACTGTGTGCTTCATCTTCAGTTCTAATTAAGTTTCAGGCCAGTGACACTGCCAACAGCTTCCTGATGTACCCCTGGCCTGGTCTTGGCAAGGGACTTTCCCCAGCCCTCAGTGTGCTTACTGTACATGCAAGCCATCGTCAGCATTGGTGCTGGTTTCAGAAAGCATGCCAATTTTAATAAAGGACTCACTCCGAATATTTAATGGCTGACATGATAAGGGAATGTCTCTCCTGAAATGTTGCAGATCAGTTACAGCAAACTGAACCGCGACCATCAAGGAAAAACTGTGGGCTCTTTGTTGACTACAGCAGCTGTGTGGAAGCAACTGCAGCTTTGATAAGGACCACAGTCTAGTCGATTTGTAAGGTAGAATTAGCATCATGATAGTGGGAGGGAGGAAGCATTAAAGAACTAGATCAGTGGTTCTCAACCTTCCTAATGCTGTGACCCT